TCCCTCTGAAGGTGGTGAGGCACAGATCTGCTCAGGCTGTCTTCTCCCTGTCTTCTCATGTGTTGTCTGTTTGCATTTCTACACCCAAATTTTTTTTTCTTTTGATATGTATTCTTTTTTTGATGTGTGTGTGTGTGTGTGTGTGTGTGTGTGTATTGCCAGAATGTATGTAAGTGCACACATGTCATGCAATGCCCTCAGAGGCCCTCAGGCACATTCCCCTGGAACTTGGGTTATGGATGGTTGTTAGCTGCCATGTGGGTGGTGGGGACTGAACGTAGGTCCTCCGCCAGAGCAGCCAGTGTTCTTAATTCCTGAGCTGTCTCTCTAGCTCCTGGTATGTATTCTCACAGAACTTTGGGCAAACATTCCAATTTATACATAACATATATGTAAACTAAAAAAAAGTGTTATTAGTAGTTATATCAGTGTAAGGCCCTTGGTCTTTTCCCTAGCACTGAAAACAAAAAACCATATTTGATTTTACTAGTTGCAATTTTTCTGTTTTTTAAAATTTTTTATTTATGTGTATGAGTGTATTGCCTGCATGTATGTGAGTGTACCCATACAGGATTCCCCTGTAACTGGAATTATGGATGATTGCTAGCCACTATGTGGGTGCTGGGAATTGAACCTGGGTCCTCTGCAAAAACAGCCAGTACTTTTAACCACTGAGCCACTCCCAGCCCCTCCTGTTTTTTGTTTGTTTCTTTGTTTGTTTTTCCCTTTGGTCTTTTTGAGACAGGGTCTCCCAGTAGCCCCAGATGGCTTGGAACTCACTGTGTAGTTCAGGCTGGTCTTGAACTCACAGAGATCTGCCTGCCCCCTCCTCTTCCTGAGTACTGAGATTAAAGGCATGTGTCACCACACCCAGCATTTATCCATGTCTTTGCATTTTGATCTAGCGCCTTTCGAAATCGCCTGGGATCTGGAAGTACCGACATACCATGATTATTAATTTAAACAGCCACTGGTAGAAGTTTGGATTATTAGCATTTTTCTTCATTACGTGGAGTGTTCCAACATACGCCATATGCTCTTGCATGCATATTATGGTAGTCTTTTATTTTTCCCTTTTACTTTTTGAGACAGAGTCTTGCTATGTAGCCCAGGCTGTCTTTGAACTTGAACCAGGCAATCTTCCTTCCTCAGCCTCCTAAGTGTTGGGATTACAGGTATGGGCCAGCATGCCTGGTTTGTGGCATATTTTTGAAATATGAAGTTCTGGGACTGTAATTACAATGACAAGGGATATGCTTTATATCCAGATTGCTAAAATGTCCCAACCAACAATATTTCAATCTTCGTTTATGTGACAGGAGACCACCTGTTTTCATAGCAAATAGACAAAGTTGGAACATACTCCTATAGAAGCACTGATTAAGACTTATTCAGTAAGATGGGACTGGAGAGAAGTTTCAGCAGTTAAGAGCACTGGCTGTTCTTGCAGAAGACTTTGGTTTGAATCCCAGCACCCTCATGGTGGCTAACAACCATCTGTAACTCCAGTTCCAGGAGTTCTGATGCCCTCTTCTGTCCTCCGATGGCACTGCATGCACTGCATGGGTGTACTTACATACATGTAGGCAGGACACTCATAAAATAAAAATAAAAGGATGAAAAAAAATACTTATTCAGTAAGAGAAAAATATATATAGTGCTTTCTTTCTAAAGGAATTTTGATCTACAGCAGTTAAGGGAATGACTGAATTGAATTCATGCTCAGCACCTTGGGTCTGAACAGGAAGATCTGAAAACAAATAGCTATCCAGGCGTGAACTGGAAGTAGCCCAAGCCGTTTTTGAACTTCCAGCAGTTCTCTTGCCTCAGTTTCTCATATGCTTGGATTACAGACATAGGTCACCACACCTGGCCTGACTTCTGTAATAACCTGCATGTCTATACTTCCCCAATTGCACAATGCCCTCTAGGCTCATGATAGTTGCCATTATATTACCTTGCAGAATGTGGCTGCATTTATCCTGTCTTCTCTGAAAGGAAAAGGGTGGTGACCCAAAGTGAGAGAACAACAAGCCAGACATGGTAGCAAACCATGCTGAGTTGGGCGAGATGTGTCCTTTCTACAATGCTTCTTCCTCTTCATATTGCAAAGAAAGACAGTCATTTATTTCTCTTCTTCCCCCTTAGACGGTCCAGAAAGGGTGGGAAGTATTACTCTGAAAAATTTCTAAAACAGTCCATCCATCCACATAAAGGAATGAAATCAAACCCAAATTCAAATCCAAGCCCCAAACCATCTTTTCCAGAGTTGGATAAAGTATTAGAAATTATCCCTTAGTGGCCTTGATTATTGGCATTTATTAAATATTTAATCATTAAGAAAAGAGAGTTGTCATGTCGTCCTTTGAGGTGAAATATCAGCTGTTCACTTCCACTTAGAAATCATTAATTTGACCTTTGATGTTCAAGCCAGATCTGTTAGATCAGGAACCAAAATTTTTTGATGTCCAATAAAAGGCTTGAGAATTTCAAAACTCAGGGAAAAGAGAGAACAAGAGAGAACAAACAAAGAGAAGAAAATCTTAGAAACTTTAAGTATGGACAGAGGAAGAAAGGGAGGGCTAAGGTGGGGGGGCAGCAGAGGAGAAAATGAAGCCCTTTAAGTTAATGAGTGTTGCTGATGGTACCCTAGGCATGCTTTAATTTTTTATTGTTTATCCTCCTAGAAATTTGAGCTCTTTGAAGACTGTACAATATCTTATTCATCTTTGCCTTTTTTGACATCCATCATTCCTTGACCAATAGTCTGTGTTCAGGGCTATTTGGTGGCCAGAACCAGTCCATTCTAGACAACTAATGAACATTCTGAAATTTAAACTTTACAGCTAGAAGTGTATTTGTGGACTTGATACTTTTATTAGACAATCTTTCAATGAACTGGGCAAGAGGAGAGGGGGCTATGAAACAGACAGACTCCTGGGCCCTATCTTAGATATTCTTATGTAAGAGATCTGAATGGGGGAGTGTCAGAATTGCAATTGAAGCCCAGCATTGAAGACAGATCCCTTGTGGACGCCTTGTTTAACTTCTCCTCTGACCCTGGGCCACTGTTCATGTGACATATACTTTCTTCCATGATCATGGTTTGACGAAGAAGAGCTCTGGTCAGCCTCCAGCCTGTCCACATTTAATTACTGCAAATGGGTAAAGTAATCAGTGGCAAAAACAGCCTGAGGGAGCAATGATCTTTTGGGACCTGAAAAACATCTCTGTCACTAGGCCCTCAGATCAGAAGTGCATCATCTGCCTCCACCCCATGCCCGGGAATATACTCACCAGTTTGGGAACATCCACTAATTGCCGCTATAAACCACTCCTAAATCAGCTTCCATGAAAGATGGATTTTGTGACCAGAGTCCTCCAAATTCTTGCTGAGCTGGCTTTTCAAATAAAGTTGACTTCTTGCCTTAACACTTTGTCTCTGGACATAATCCACAGCTGTTCAGTGAGTATAATAACCTAGAAGTTAGGTGACACACTTAACAAATGCCTCCAATGTTTCTGATACAGCTTGGAACCAAAGGAGCTTATAAATCAGCATATCAGAAGCTGGAAGCATTTGGAGTCATCTTGGTATTTGGGGCTCAAAGTGCCTTGAAGCTTGATCTGAAAAGAATAAATTACTATCTTAACATGCACAGTTACCAAAGAGAAAGTTGAAGACATAGTCATAAGGCACTGAGAGACTCTAGCAGGTCCCCTTCCTAATCGTTAGCCTTTTGGGTAAGTCTGCAGATTTCCGAGTTCCCAGTCCTTAGGATTGCTAAAAGCACTATTGGAGACAACTATGGAGGCTACAGGCAAGAGGTGCGGCTTGCCTTCAAGAACATCTGTGCCTGTTAAACATTTATGGGTTGTTTACAGTTTAGAGGAGATGAATTAAGGAGAGGAAAAGATTTTCCATTTCTTAATAGAAAAAAACCAACAAAATGCCAATACACCAATTTACTAACAAACAAGGAAATGACCATTAAAACCACATTGCAAATGTGAACACACTGGGCAAAAATTCAGACCACTCTTAATAGTAGATGGCCCTAACTGGAAGTCACATGTCTAAAATGAATGTCTAATATTGTTCACTATGACATGGTCACATTCTCAGCATCTCCTTGCCCTTGTGTAACCTCTGCCAACACATGGAGATTCATCTAAAGTCACTGACCACAGCCATAGTCAAGACTGTCTGACCAGAAGAACCCATTCAAAAATAGCAAAAAAGCATTTGTATGACAGCTCAAAAATAAAGTAAGGGACTGGAGAGACAGCTCAGTGGTTAAGAGCACTCACTGACTGCTCTTGCAGAGGACAGGGGTTTGGTTCCCGGCAATCACATGTCAGCTCACAACCATCTGTGACTCCAGTTTTAGGGGATCCAACACCCTCTTCTATACTCTACAGGCACTACATGCATGTGGTTCACTTACATGCAGGCAAAACATTCATATACATAAAAATAAATAAGCACATCTTTTTTTTTTTTTTTTTTTTTTTTTTTGGTCTTTTTGAGACAGGGTCTCCCTGTAGCCCCAGCAGTCCTGGAACTCACTAAGTTCAAGGCTGGCCTTGAACTCACAGAGATCCGCCTGCCTCTGCCTCCCAAGTGCTGGGATTAAAGGCCTGCCCCACCACCCGGGCATAAGCACATCTTTAATTCCACCACTTGCCGGGCAGAGGCAGATGAATCTTTGTGATTTTGAGGTCAGCCTGTTCAGCCCAGCTGGGGCTACAGGGAGACTGCATCTTAAAAACCTAATAATAATTAATAATAATAATAATAAAATAATAATGTGAGTAAAAATAAAGCAAGGTAAGAGAGTTTCTTGGTTCAGTGTAACTTCCATGAGGAAGATGGGTATTCATTACTCTCCCTGAATAGATATGTAAACCAAGGCCCAGAAAGCTCTGTTGTCATGCTCAGCAACTCAGGAGTTTAAGCAGCACTGATCCAAGGACCTAAAACATGTCTGGTGGCACTTGCCGTTCCTCACTGTACTCCTTTGATGGAAGTGCTGTTGAGAGTCACCTTCTTCCTTACACAGGAGGTAATGGAGGCCCAAAGGTATTGTGGGCTGTAAAGGCAGTGTCCTTGTGGAGGTGGAGCCCAGATTTTCGAACTCCACAGTCAAAAGCTCAGACTTTGGCAGGAGGGCCTGAAAATCAAGGATGAGAGCCCGACCTTCTGAGGAGCGCTGTCAGGTATACCTCTTGTGGGTGCCTGCGGGGAGCACGGGTCAGGCCTGAGCCCCGGGAGCCTGTGGGTGGGGCCAGGCGCACATATCTAACTCGATCTAGAATAGCTAGGGTTTGCGAAATGCTGGCTTTCAAGTCCTCCGGTCTCCACCCGAAGATGATTACCATAGCTGAAATTTTGGCTACCGCGTGGACCCTCCTGAAGGCCAAGACCCGTGGCCCCTGTTCCTGGAGCTGGGACGTGGCCAGAGCCGGGTGGTGCCTGGGAGGAAGCCGAACCCGGAGCCGGGTCGCAGCTCAGGACGGTCGGGCGCGCGTGTGAGTCCCAGACCCGGGAAGAGTCGGTCCCGGCGCGGCCCCGGTCCCGGAGGAGTCCGTTGTGCGCTTGAGCTCTGGGCGCCGGAGAGGAGCCGGGCGGCCTGCCCTGCTGCGGGGCAGAAGGCGTGCCTCGGAGAGCGGCCGAAGTCGGGGTCCGGTCCCGGTGAGCCCCGCCGGCCATGGGACTGCAGGTCAAGGTAAAGGCGGGCCCGCAGGTGTCCGCGCATCGGGGACCGCAGCCTGGGGCAGCGAGGTGGCCCAGGAGGTTCGCGATCCCGGAGAAGGACGGCGCCCAGCGTGGGGAGGGCGTTGGCGACACGGGAAACCAGAGGATGGACATCTCTGTTCTTTGGTCTCCTCTAAGGGCACAAACCAGCTACCATTTTACCTATTTTTCTTCAGTTCCACACATTGTATATGGAATAGCATTGTTTACTGAGCACAGTTAAGGCTTGTCAAACATGAGCTCTCAGCCTGGTCTGGTTAAGAGCCCATTCCCTGTTGCCAGGCAGCCTGAACTGGCATCCCAGTCCCATAAGCAGGTCAGTTACTCTCTTAGCTTCAACTTTTGCATCTGGAGCAAAGGGAAAACATTGTTTAAAGATTAAGTGAGATATGATGTGCCACGTGCACTTAGAATAATGCTCAGCATATTGGACAAGTTGTAAGAGTGCTTTCTCTGCTGTACTGGGGCATGAACCCAAGGCCTCTCATATGCAAGTGCCCAACCATTGAGCTACATTCCAAGCCTTTTAAATACTTATTTTGAAGCAGGAGCTCATTGTTTTCCAAACCAGCCTTGAATTTGCAGCCCTCCTGCCTCAGTAAGCCTCTCTAGTAGCTGGGATTACAGGCCTGACAACAATCCTGATAGAATCCTATAGTTATCGGTCTTTACCCACCTCCCCCTTCCTGCCTGGAGAAAACGAAGCTGAGGGAAAAAAGTAAAGTTGAGATTTGAACCCCCGTCAGTTGAAGAGGAAGCATACACATGATTGTGATGGTTTGTTCTAGGGAGTTGAGTCGCCCTTAACTACTCAGGGAGAAATGCACTTTTCAGTTTCTTTGTCCGTGTATGTAGGTTTTTAAGAAATCATTATTGTGCATGTGTTCCCGTGTGCATGCCTGCATATCTGGGTATGTTCATGTGGAGATCAGAGGACAACTTTCAGGAGCTGATTTTCTTCTTCCCCTGTGGGACTAAACTCAGATCTTCAGGCTTGCACACAAGTGCTTTTACTTGCTAAACGTTTCATCTCTTGGACCCTTGGTATTCAGATTAAAAAATATTTTATTTATTATTTTTATTTTTAGTGTATGAGTGTATTGCCTGTATGTATGTAAATGTACCCGTGTCCTGCAATGTCCACAGTCAGAAGAGGGCTTCAGATCCCTTGGAACTGGAGTTATGGATGGTTGTTAGCCACCATATGGGTGCTGGGAATCAAACACTTGTCCTAAGAGCAGCCATTGCTCCTAACCACTGAACCATCTCTCCAGCCCCATCAATATGCAGATTTTGATGTGCCATTTTATTCTTTGTTTTGGATTCTTCCACAACCAATAAAGCATCAGAGATTTTGCTAGATTGTTTGAGTTTAAAAGAATCGGCTTGGCTATTTCTTATGTTCCTATAGAGGGTTGTAACCACATGGGATGGGACAAATTATTTAGGTGGTATTTTATTACTATTATTTTTAAAAATTTATGTGTATGTGTTTGTCTGTGTGTGGTATGTGCACATGAATGCACATGCTCATGGAGGCCAGAGGCATCAAATTCCCCTGGAACTGGAGTTATAGACCTTAGGAACTGTCTGATGTGTGTTTGGGGAAGTGAACTCTGGTCCTCTGAATGAGCAGTATGTGTTTTTATTCTTTACATAAAAGGAATCAGATTAGGCATATTGCTGTATAACTCATTCATTTCTGAATAGTTCATAAATTTTTTTCCATGTCAATATGTATTACTGCTTGTTTGAATCAAGATCATACATATAACATTTCTCCCTATGATCAACATTCTTCTAGATTCATTCATCCAGCAAGTGTTTATGGAGTGCCAACTATGTGCTGAGCCCTATTTCAGAACCTGGGAATGTAGAATGAACAAAAAGTCTTTTATTGTTGTGATAGAGAAGGGGCTGTGAGCTCAGTGGGAGTGAGCTCAGCTTCAGCTACAGCTAATTTTTTTTTCCATTCCTAGAGTGCAAATATCATATAATCAAGCAACTTCCCCTTACCTCTCTCCCTCCTTGTACAATAACAACCATTAGCTTGTGTGCCACTAGACCAACAGAGATATAGGAGCAGATTTTCTGAATGAACAAACAATGAGACACATACACACATGCATGCAATAGAATACATTCAGCCTTGAAAAGAGAGAAAATTTTGACACTTGCTAGCAGATGAATGAACCTTGCATTACGCTAAGTAAAATAAGCTAGTCACCAAAAGACAACACAGAAGGCCACAATTGGTCACGGGATAGAGAATTAGAGACTGCAGGGTACCTGCCCCTGGATAAGACTCCTGCATTAAATCTCACCCACTCATGGCCCAGGGCCCATTGCAGAAGAAGGGAGGTAGACTGTAAGAGCCAAGGTTGGTACATGAAATTTAGGAAACAGAAGCTTTCGGGACTCTGGGAACTTGCTCATATGAACTTGCAGTTATGGTGACAGCATGGACAAGACCCATGCTGACTCAATCAGAGAAAATCCAGCTTAGAAATGGGGAAATGGCAGCAGGCTCCAACCTTAGCCAAGGAACTATTGGCAACTGATTACTGCTGGGTGAGGGAGAGTTGATCTTTAAGGGAGTGACTCTAGATAAGCTGACTAGACTCCATTGGATGAATTTGCACTGAGAGAACATCTGAGTACGAAAGTTTGACCAGATAGTCCTTAATATATATGACAGAATGCATGAACTCTGATGGGAGGTATCTATGGGGTACAGATGGGGAGGAGGTCTAAATAGGATTATGAATTATTTTATGAGATACACAAAATTTCAATAAAAATATGCATTAAAAGACCAAAAAGACAAATACATGATTCGACTTATGAGCTATCTAAATGTCAAATTTAGATCAGTATTGACAAGGGAGGGGGAGAAACAAGAGGGAGTTGTTTAATGGTTCTAGCTTTGGAACATGGAGGATTTCTGGAGGTGGCAGCACACAATGTGAATATATGTAACTACTGAACTGCACACCTAGAAAAGAGGATGGTAAATATTATAGCACGCATACTTTACCAGATTAAAAACAAACAAACAAACAAACCAAAAAACCAGACATAGTGGTCCATGCTTGTAAGCCTATCACTCAGAAGGCAGATACAGAAAGATGCGCCTGGCCTATATGGAGAGTTAAAGGCCAGCCAACTATAGTGCAAGACTGTCTCAGAATGAACAAAAGAAAGGGAGAGAGAGAGAGAGAGAGAGAGAGAGAGAGAGAGAGAGAGAGAGAGAGAGAGAGACACTCTTTAGAGAGATTTCTCACACGATTTGAATAGGGGGGGGGAGTTTGTATTTCGAGAGATA